ATTGAAAAATTTTTGATAAGGTAGGATTCTACCCTGTATTATATTGGTAATAATTAATATATTGCTTGTTATTTGGTGCATATGGCATCTTGAATTTGGAAACAGGAAAACTAGGCAAACTGGTTTTTGCAACAGTGTGGAAGAGCACAGGTTGTGCCTGCCACTTTAAGGGGTCTGAGCAGGCAGTAATCAGCCTGCAGGTGGGAGCAGGTCCAATCAGGCAGTCACATGTTAGGCAGGAAGCCGCCTGATTGGTGGAGAGGCTGGGAGTGTGGGTATAAGGCTAGGACCCTGAGTGCAGTGCTGGCAATTGCTACAGGGGTCCAAAGGAATAACATCACCCAGCCGGAGAGCTGATGGCTCCCAGAACAGCTTAGAGATTCAGGGTAGGAACTATGGGGATGGAGGAGGTTCCTGGTCCTGAGGAATGACCTAAAACTGCACCCTGCTGGGGAGAATGGTGTGGTGGGGCTGCTTATGGCAGGGCAGTCCTCAGGAAATGCCACACCTGTGCCTCCCCATTGAAAAGTGAATATGGGGAGCTGGAAAGCCTCAGCCCCCGCTGTCTTGTGGGTGATCCTGTGGAGGGGAAAGGCTAAGGGAGCACACCCTGACAGAAAAGCAGACTGGGTAGGGCCTGATGTGGGGTCCAGGCTGGGAGAAGGGGGCCTGAGACAGGGCCCAGGCCCACTGAGTGAGGCATGAGGCCCAAGGGGCATTAGGCCCAGAAGCCCAGTGAGAGAGCCAGGTGTTAAGGCCCCAGAAGGCAAGGTATTGAAACCCCAGTGTGGGGGCACGGGGGCCCAGGTAGGTCTGAGGATGCCTGAGGCCAAGTTTGGCCCAGCTAAGGGGCCAGGGGAGTATTAGCAAATATGAGTGTCAGCTGCAAGGGATGGAACATAGTATAAGGGAAGGTTTCATAGTAGCTAAGGTCAGGAGAGACCTGAACAGATCATCTAGCCTGACCCCCTAACACAGGCAGGAATGAATGCTGGGTTCACAAGACCCCATACAGGTGATCGTCCAACCTCCTCTTGAATGTGCCCAAGGTAGGGGCAAGGACCACTTCCCTGGGAAGCTGGTTCCAGATTTTGGCCACCCTAACTGTAAAATATTGCCTTCTGATCTCTAACCTAAACCTGTTCTCCATCAGCTTACTACCACTGTTCCTTGTCACCCCAGGTGGTGCTGAGGAGAAAAGGGCTCTACCTATTTGCTGTTGATCTCCCCTGATGAGTTGGTAGGCAGCCACCAGGTCCCCCCTCAGCCTCCTCTTGCTGAGGCTGAACAGGTTCAGGTCCCTCAGCATTTTCTCGTAGGGCCTGTCCTGCTGCCCTCTCACCAAGTGGGCGGCCCTCCTTTGAACCCTCTCCAGACTGGCTGCATCCCTTTTAAAGTGCGGCGCCCAGTACTGGACACAGTACTTCAACTGCGTCCTGACCAAAGTCGCATAGAGGGGGAGTATCACCTCTCTGGACC